AGGTTCGATTCCCCGCTTAAGCATTTCAAAACTTGCTTAGCTGATATAAGTATAAAACTTGGGCACTGTGGTGGTAGAGTATAACTCCATTATGAATAAGATTTTATTTTGATAAATCACATATTACTGTTATACAGTAATATTAAATGATGACAATGTTGCAAGCACAGATTATTGCTCCTGTGATTTCACTGGTGGTAATAATATAAGTGTTATTGAATAATTACAATCAGATGGGAAATAAGACGAGTGTTGTTATGGTCATAATAAATAAGTAACTTGTTAGAATGTTGTGATGTACGTGAATTGAATTGAAATAGAATTTTGAGATTATTTATTATCCTCCTCTGATATGACTGACTGGCGGTAATAATATCTTCCATGCATATCCCTGGTATTTGCATTGAGTAATTTCTGTTGCACGTGATGTGTTGGGTGTAGGTAGACTCAATGAACCAGTCAGGATTCAGTAATCAATCTCTCTTGCTCTCCACCTGCATAGATTACTTCTTAGAATCTTAACCCTCTCCCACTATGCCATTGTGTGGTTGTGTGTTAATGCACGTAGTGCAATGAAGTGATGAGCTTTTTTCTAAATTACTGATCTTTTCGGGTGGAGTCAACCATTCCTACCTAATTCAGTAAACTCTTATGTTCCGATAATCTGACTACCCCCCGATCTACTAGTTTGATCTACATAGTTGACCTCACTCACAGTCATTGCAGGGTATTTTGTAAATTATATTATTTTGTTTAATTGGGTCCACTGACTGGGTCTTTTAGCCTACATAGCTTGTCGTACCGGAGTGAGTTTGTAGGTTTGAATGCCACCACCTTAATTCCTGTTTTATTAAGAATCCTACGTGATGAGGGTCTCAGATATCCCCTCCCTCCTTATACGGTATAACAGTAGATGACTTATATTCCCTCTTATTTATGTTATCATAACTAGTTCTACGATTATTTTTATTTTGTTTTTGGCTTTTAACTGACCTCCCTAATGAATTTTTTAGGATAATTATTTGATATCAACGCTTCTTCTATCTGTTTTATTTCATCATTTAGGGGTCTTTACTGAATATACATTATCACATATTGATTTTTATTCCAATATCTAGTCAATTCTATACATGTATATAAATGAAGTCAAGAAGTTGTGTGAGTGAGTGACTTGATATGATTATGAGTGTCATTAGTTTGTGCTCTAAACGTTGTCATCAGTTAATACTGTAACAACAGAAGACAAGGGCCAGGCAACAGATCGTTTTATTATGAAAATCAACACGTATTTATACATATTTCACATACATTATTGTAGACAAGCGCAGTCATCTGATTGGTTGTTTATCAGAAGTTAGGCAGACAAACGCAGGCTTCTGATTGGTTGTTTCGGGATTCCTCGACAAATAGGGTTCTCTATCTGCGAATTATATTTTGACACGTTAACTTTGCTGTGATTGGTTGTTAAATCAGCCTTGCTCATATTTTCTCACGGCCTGCTCTCACCACAATACTACTTACTGTACGACAACACTGTGTGACTTATCAAAATAAAATCTTATCCACAATGGAATTGCCTAGCTGGTTAGAAGCCTGATAAAGAGAGAAAGTGGGGCGTACAACTAGCAACTCTACCCTGTAAAAAACAATCACTGCTTCTGAAACTTCAAAGCTCTAGCTTGAAGTAGTCCTGTGTTACACTCGCGACGCAAAGAAATAAAATGAAATAATAAGTTGGATATGAATCATTTCGGAAACTACTCATTGAATTTAAGTGGTAATAACTATTAACCGAAATGAATCTGAAGTGATCGAAACACCAAACGGTCATTTGGCCATTTAGTCAGATTCATAAGTGGTAAGTTACTTCACAATTTATACAGTTCATGGTGATTATTGAGCTGTGGTTTCCTTCTTCGGAAACCGAGATCATTCTGATCATATATTGTGTATGTTTTCTCCACCAACAAATGAACCAAAAGTGTTGCATTATATGGCTGCACGACAGTATCAGCAACTTTCGTCAGTAAAACGACTAGATACATGTTCATTATCCAATTGGAATATTAATCGCGTATCTTTGAGATCAACAGTATACTGATAACAGGGACAATACCACCAACCGAGAGAATGAGCCAAGTGGCACCCTTATCAATAGTCACATAACTCTGATTCTTTTTTCACTACATCTAAAACACAGTTGAGCACTTTCATACAGTGACCCTCCATCCAATTAATCCCCGTTCCACTCTGCGCAAATAGGGAGTTATTTGGACAAAACGCTTGTCAGAAAAGTCCAGCAAGAACACCCCCGTTGTTCTAGGTTCTAGATCCACTAAGATAGGTCGATGGACATACCTTCCATCAGATCAAAGTCGCCATGATATGTTACCATAGGGTCTGTTCCACGCTCATCTGTGATGACTTTTCAAAATTGGCACTGATCTGGGTTCCACAGTGACCAGCTTGAATACACACAATCTCTTTCATGACAACCTATCAGTAAATTAGTAGAAGTCCTCTAAACAAAAATTACCTGCATCTCATTTAATTCTAACTGACACTGGAGTTAAACTTGATCAGTTTCACAGTCCCTGATGGTTTTCCGTAGAATAAAAAGCATTAGTGTATGGAATGGTGGATCAAAAACATGGAAGGAGCTAGGATTAACTTGAAGTTCACATGCAAAGAGGAATCGCAAAATAGAATTGCCCTCCTAGATATCTTCCTTACAAGAAAATCAGATGGTGGTATAAAGAAAAATTTGCATAGGAAAAGCATGTGGACAGGACAATATACACAATTTCACATCTTCATTTCTCTCCAGTAGAAAAGAAATTTAGTAAGTACCCTCAGCCGTAGGGTTAGAGCTATATGCTTAGAAGAAGTAGTTGAAGATGAACTAAGAATTGCGTATGATACCTTAATTGAAAATAGCTGTGCAGAAAAGTTTACCAAGAAACAAATGGCCAAGAAAGCAGAAGAAGACTATTCTTCATCTGTAAATAAGAAGCCTTTATACATACGACTGCAATTCAAGTGTGGTATACCTGGCTAAATAATTACGAAGAAGTTAAGAAAATCAGTTAAAAGAACTTTTAATGCTGGCAAATTACAAGTCATGCTTTCTAAACAACTGGTGGTGATTCCACGACTAAAAGATGAAGTACTTAGACTAGCTAGCCACTTCGAATTGTATCTACCAATTCATCTGCGCTTGGAGCGAGTTATATCCGCCACTGATCTAGGAACCAGATTCTTTATGATCGCTCTGGAAAATCTTCCAGTGTGGCTAAATAAAAGTGTAGTTAAAACCACTAACAGTTTCATATTGGACCACCTGATACAAACAGGCCACAATGTTGGGCATTGACGGCAAATAAATTGCCAAAAACATCCAGGTACTAACCGCATACTTTAAACAGCAGAAGTTATCACAACGTGCCTTAAGCAGCGAGTGCTTTGTGTATGGAGAAAACATGTCTAGCTAGCCACTTCTACTTCCCTGGACGCAGGCCGTCAATAGAGACTTTAAATTCATGAATCTGTATTATTATCTTTCCCAATTTCTTTGATATTCAGTAAGTACTGGGATGTTGATGCTATCGAACTGTAATTCAATGATATTATTATTATTGATTCAATGTTATTTAAACAACATTGATGTTGTTAATAACACTATCTTGGCATTAGTTTCTCTTCAAACCTTTGCTGATCGTCTCATATTCTTATAGTTTCTAAGAAAGTTTTCCGTCTGACTTATCACATAAAGAAGTTGAGGCACTCAGGTATAACCCAATCTCTTCTCATACAATTTATTAATTCATGTGTTTTGCCCATCATTCTATATTGTTCTCCATTATTCTTCCCTGGGCTACTCAAGAAAGACCATATAATACTACGAAGAACATTGAGGGCTGTAAGTAGGGTCAGTGCTATCCCTTTGACTCAACTAAATGACACTGTTGTCAATAGGCATATGAATTCTTGAAAACACCTAGCTAAAGTTATCTTATCTGATAGTGAACATCCTCTTTATTCACAATTGTTTCCTTGTATCTCTTCGGGTAAGACCAGAAGAAATTTCATAAACATTTATGCTCGTACTACAAAATATTAAAAAAATTCGACCGTACCATATTTGGCACGAGTATTGTGTGAAGAGACAAATATCAGAAAAGAACTTTTACAACTTCTAAATCATTAACTAAACTATAAAATGTAATGATGCATACTAATGCATGTGTTATTTGTTATATTATCTATTTATTATTCACTATGACTTAGAAATGGTGTGATTTTGTTGGGGTTTTATTTTTTTCCTATTAACTATCAATATTTTAACATTTTATACATTTATATAATTATAAACAGAGCTAAACCATTGCAGTATGTAAAAGAAACGCTGAAAATTCCATGCTGTAAATTGTTATTATTGTGGAATAAAGTGATTATATTATTATTATTATTAATTCATTTACTATTATATGTGCATATATAATTGGCGTCGGTGGTATAGCGGTTAGGGCGCTCGCCGACCATGCACATGGTCCGGGGTTCAATCCCCGGCCGACGCACCCCTTTACCTCACTAAGCCAGAAATAATACTGGTAAAGAGAAAAGGTTGGGCATGAGTCTAGCCACCCCATCCTGTAAAATAAACACTGCTACAGAAACTTCAAGCCACTAGCTTGAAGCCCTATGTTCCACTGGGGAACGTGAAGGAAAAATTATTATTATTAAATTATTATATAACTGTACAACCTGATGAGGAAGGGGTTATCCAAAAAAAATATTCTTTGTTCATTAGGCATTCTTTTAACTTGAAATGTCTAACACTTATAATATTAGCCTCCTTTCACCAATATATTGTTCGAAAACTATGCATTAAAAAACAACGAGTATTCACATGTATCATACCATGAGATAAATGCGAAAAGGAGAACAGTTATTTCTCTAAACGTTTAACAAAAATTGACAAAAAATTAATAAATATTTACTTGAACCATAAATTTTACTTCTGTCGTTCTCGATGGTATACCAGAATCTTGTATATGTATCACTAACGGATAGGTGCCAATATCCTGTTCGGTTAATTCACGATCAATAATTAATTCAGCTGATGTACTACCAAGACGAAATACTGAGGCTTGATTACCAGAATATAAAATGAAATGTAGTAAGGCATTATGACCTTCATCGGGATCGCGTGCTTCAATGCGTGCTACTACCTAGACAAAAAAATTAATATATTTATATATATAATTACAAAACAAGATCAATAACAAATGAAGTCTAACGAGTAGCTGTTTGCTAGTCGCATCAACTTATAGTGTTTGCTAACCAGATCTAAGTGATGCAAGCACTGGATGGTGAGTTCGCTTGTTTGGGGTCAAGCTCATCAGTAGTATACCCGTTGAATTCAGTTCAGTTTCTGGTCAGCCACTTCGGTGAACTGGTTATGTTGTAAGTCAAATTCCCAAATAGCCAGTAATTCGTAATTCATGCACTTCTAGGTGATTACATCACTATAGTCTATTTTTCGGAAACCGTGATTTTCTAACCAATGGCACTTGGTTTCTTGAATACCATTCATGTTATGGAGCAGATACATATTGTGATCTAAATACCTTGGCTGGTTTCTAGAGGAAACTATGACAAGATGAACACCTTGAACTGTGTAAACTGCAAGCAAATTTGCGATCTGTGAATATGAACTACACAGAGGAAACACTGCCATAAGATCAGTCATTTTGCTATAAGGAACACGAAGATGTGATCAATGCGAAAAAATGTTTGAATCCTGAATACTTCTTCATCGAGTGGTATAGTAATGATTGATCACTCGCACTTGAAATATGGAAAATATCACTGCTACCAACCAAGTTAAGCGATGAAAAATAGTGGAATTGTATGAGCGATGTTAGAAAGTTGTGTGAATACCTTGATATGATTATAATCAGTATTAAATTGTGCTCGAAACGTGATTATCAGTAGATATTACTTGCTGTATAACACTGTGAGACTTTATCAAAATAAATATTAATCGCAATGGAATTATATCCTGCCACAATGCACAGGTTCTGTACGTTTATCAACTTTTGAAAGAACCGGAATCATGAAACCATTCTACCGAGATTCCCGAACCGAATTTTACAAAAAATAATTCAGAAACATTCAAGCAGATGACAGTGAAATCATGATTTGCATAGAAAAAGTACTTGGACAGGACAATACACACATTTTCACAGCTTCGTTCCTATCAAGTACAAAAGAAATTTAGTGAAGACCCTCAGCCCTGGAGTCAGTTATAGCTATATGCTCAGAAGAAGTAATTGAAGATGAATCAAGCATTGTATATGATACTTTGATCGAAAATAGCAATCCCGAAAAATTTGTCAAAAAACACATGACAAAGTAAGCGGAAAAGGACTAATCACTATCTGTAAACAAGAAGCCACTTTATATACGGCCTTGATTCAAGGGCGATATATACCAAGTGAGATAATTACGAAGAAATTAAGAAATTCAGTTCAAAGAACTTTTATTGCTGGAGAACTACACGTCTTACTCTCTACACGACCGATGTTGATTCCTCGACTGAAAGATGAAGTACCTAGACTAGCTAGCCACTTCAAATTGTATCTACCAATTCAACTGCGCTTGTGGTGGAGTGAGTTATATTGGCCGTTGCTCTAGGAACTTGATTTTTCGTGCTCGCTCCGAAACATCTCCCACTATGGCTAAATAAATGTGTAGTTAAAACTATTAACAATTCGAAATTGGATCATCTGATACAAACCAGCCACAAAGCCAGTGAGCCAGCCAGCGTGGAAGAATCCTTCTCTATTATCATAACATGTATGTATATAAAAAAATCTTCAATTCTTATGATTTACTTACCTCCCCTGGTGGTTCACGAAAAGATACACTGACATTGCCTTTCCCATGTACAGGGAATACAACGATCGGATCATGATCATTCGTATCAGTCACATGAATATGTATCTTTGCTGTAGCTGACCTTGGAGGTTTACCCTTATCCATAAGCAGTACAATTAATTCATAATTGGTTTGTTTCTCTCTGTCTAAACTTTGCAGACTGGTCAATTCCCCTGTGGTTTGATTCACTCTAAAGCTTAATGATGAACCAACAAGACGAAAACGTAATTCAGCATTCTCATCAATATCAGCATCTGTTCCGAGAAGAATTCCTGGATTTTGTCGGACAGAAATAAACATCGGTAGATCAATAAAATTTAGAAATTATCGAAATTAATACAAATCGATATTTGCAGTTAAGTAGTAGTTTTTAGGTATTTTTTTTTGAAGGAATTCGATTGGTCTTAACTTTGAGAACATGCTGGTTTCCATCAGAGAAGGAGTGATGAACAGCTATTCGGCAGTACATACTGATTGCCCTTCCAGGGGGGGGGCGATTGAAGCTAGGTATTTCAGGCTATAAGACGAGCTCGCCGAATATTTCGCAACTGTGACTGAATTCGGACTTCTGCCAATTGGTAATAACTACCTCAACTGCCAGCCAAACAAAGAGAAAATAGCTGATCAGCAGTACTTCACAGTGGATTTTCAATGGTTCTGAAACTGAATTCGGTTCATGATGGTACTTGAAATTAATATTTGGTTCCGTTTTCATCCCATGGAAGATTTCTTCATGTAATGAGTACAGGACTCTCAGGTTACAAGGCATTCGGGTTGACTATGAGATACTAGCTTGCTAGGCTACTGGCTTACTAGTTTTCTCGCCGGTCCCAAGCCGGGGTAAAGAGGGAGGGTTGGGGCGTGGTGCTAGCAACTCCACCCCTGTAAAACAACCAAATCGCTACAGAAACTTCAACGAATAAATATATTAAAAATTCTAAAAACATAAGCAATAGCCTTACTTTTCGCTGGAATCGGGGAAGTGAAATGACGCAGGCTGGTGAAAGCCTTCGGGAAGCCAGTCAGCCGATGTGCCTTCTTTCGATGAAAGCAAAAGTAAGGATGGGTACCTGGAATGTTCGCACAATGTACGAAACTGGAAAGGCTGCCCAGATAGCCGCTGAAATGAGAAGGTACAGAATAGAAGTGTTGGGAATCTGCGAGAGCAGATGGAACGGAACTGGAAGGTGCCAACTACCTACTGGAGAGACAGTAATCTATTCCGGCCACCTAGAGGACAACCATGAGCACACCGAGGGAGTGGCCATCATGATGTCACCAACAGCAACCAAAGCTCTCATGCAGTGGGAACCAATCTCCTCCAGGATAATGACAGCCAGGTTCAACTCAAAAGGAAGGAAAGTTACAGTCATTCAATGTTATGCGCCTACAAACGTCTCAGAACAAGAGAAGAAGGAGGCGTTCTACAGACAACTACAAGCAATAATGGACAACGTCCCAAATGGCGATATCAAAATCCTGATGGGCGACATGAATGCGAAGCTGGGACGAGACAACACAGGAAGAGAACTCACCATGGGTCGTGAGGCCCTCGGTGAAATGAACGACAATGGTGAACTCTTCTCAGACTTCTGCGCCTTCAATGATTTGGTGATTGGCGGTAGTGTGTTCAAACACAAGGATATACACAAGACGACATGGATTTCACCAGATGGAAACACCAAGAATCAAATAGACTTCATCTCAATTTCAAGAAAGTGGAGACGGAGCCTACTGGACACAAGGTCAAGGAGAGGAGCAGATGTGGGTTCAGACCACTATCTAGTAGAAGGGACTTTCAAGGTGAAACTAAAAGCCTCGAGGATAGCTGGGGATAGGCCACAATGCAAGTTCAACACTCAATTACTGAAGGACACAACCACAAAAGACACCTTCACTGCAACTGTCAGAGCAAAGCAGGAAACACTACGCGACATCACTGAAGAATCATGCGTGGAAGAACATTGGAAGTCTCTGAAGGCGATTCTCAACGAAACGTGTTCAACGGTTCTAGGAAGAAAGAAGAGACAAGACAAGGAATGGCTCTCAACGGACACTTGGAAATTAATAGAAGAGAGGAGAATGGTGAAAGAGAAAATGATTCAATGCAAGGACGGACAGGAGAAGGAGACGATGAGCTCAACTTACAAAGCATTGGACAAAGAAGTGAAGAAAAGTGCTAGGAAGGACAAAAGACGATTCTACGACAATCTAGCTACTGAAGCTGAAAAGGCAGCAGGCAAAAGGGACCTGAGGACACTATATCAGATAACCAAATCTCTATCCGGGAAGAGACCAACACAAGCGAAACCTATAAAAGACAGCCAAGGGAAGCCCATTACCAAGGAAGAAAAACAGATTAAACAATGGGCGGATCACTTCAAAGGACTCTTGAACCGACCATCACCTGCAACCCGTCCAGAAATACCAACAACAGCGCGCACACAACTGCAAGTTGACACCAATCCTCCAACGAGAGCTGAAGTCTTGAACGCAATCAAACTTCTGAAAGCTGGAAAAGCAGCCGGACCAGATGGAATACCCCCTGAAGCACTGAAAGCAGACCCAGAGACGACAGCAGACATGCTGACTCCATTATTGCAAAAGGTCTGGAAGGAGGGAAAGGTGCCTACTGACTGGAGGAAAGGTTACCTCGTGAAACTACCAAAGAAGGGCGACTTAGGACTCTGCAAGAACTGGCGAGGAATCATGCTCCTATCGACGCCAAGTAAAATCCTGAGTCGCATCATCCTGGAGAGATTAAAGGACGCACTGGAGACAGAACTCCGACCAGAACAAGCTGGATTCAGGAAAGGCAAATCATGTACTGACCAAATTGCAACTCTACGCATCATCATCGAACAAAGCATGGAATGGCAATCAAACCTCTACCTCAACTTTATAGACTTTGAGAAGGCCTTCGACAGCGTTGACCGTGAAGTAATTTGGAAATTACTCGAGTACTACGGCGTACCCCAAATATTCATCAACCTTATTCAACAGCTGTACGACAACGGCACCTGCCAAGTGATCCACAACGGAAGACTCAGCGAGGCGTTTGGAGTAAACACAGGAGTCAGACAAGGGTGCTTACTATCACCAATGATATTCCTAATTGTGGTGAACTGGATTATGCGTCAGACTGTGGGAAACGAGAAGACAGGAATATCCTGGACCGACGTGAAGAACCTAGAAGACCTGGATTTCGCGGATGACTTATGTTTGATGTCACACACAATCGAAGACTTACAAGCGAAAACCGACAAACTGGTCGAAGAAGCAGCCGGTGAAGACAGGACTCCATATGAACATAGACAAGACGGAGGTTATGAAAATAACCAACCAACAACAACAGCAGCAACATCCAGTGCCAATCACCATCAACGGGAATGATTTGAAAGAGGTTACTTCATTCACTTATCTAGGGAGCATTGTCTCAACTACAGGAGGAACGGACGAGGATGTCAAATCGAGCGAGAATCGGGAAGGCGAGAAACACATTCATCAATGTGAAATCAATCTGGAAATCTTCGTCACTCAGCATCACCAACAAAATTCGGATTTTCAATACAAACGTAAAGTCAGTTCTTCTATACGGATCAGAAACTTGGCGGGTCACAAAGAATATTTCCAAAAGGCTGCAGACCTTTATTAACAACTGTCTTCGCTCAATACTGAATATCAAATGGCCGGAAAGAATCACCAACAAGGAATTATGGGAACAAACAAAGCAAGAAACAATCGCCCAACAAATATGCAGGAGAAAGTGGAGATGGATTGGACACTCGCTGAGGAGACCGCTGGGTGACATCGCGCGTCAAGCTCTCGAGTGGAACCCGAAAGGGAAGCAGGGTGTGGGAAGTCCAAGGGTGACATGAAGGAGATCGTGTGAAGAGGAGTTGAAAGAATATGGATTAACATGGATGCAGGCGAAAAGTATAGCAGAAGACAGAAGAAAATGGAGACGTGCAGTTGAAGCCCTAGGTTCCATTAGGAACCCAAGGGAGCAGTAATAAATAATAATAATAATAATGAGATGGGATCCAGTTGCCTGTGATTTATAACCTCCACCTATTTGTGATATGTAGTCTTATTGGATACACGGGTCTTCGGTGAGTACTTATCCTAAAACTTTATTTGGTAGAGGCTATTAGCCACAACGCTTCACTAGAACTCCATGTAATTTCCCCTGGTGGTTAGCCACTACTGAGCAGTAGATTCTAGTCTTCTGGTGTTCGTTTGTGAAACTTTCATTGTTTTACATATTGGATATACTGACGAGTTGAATTTATTTGAAGAATCTTCAAGTTTTGGTTTGCGCGGATTTGATTCGTCGCAGGATTTCATCAGTCAAATGGTTTTATGTTAAATCCTTCCACCAAATGTCAGGCAGTTAGCCTTACTTTCAAGCATCGACGTGACATACATCAACTAGTTAGTTCCCATGATGCCTGTAGCAAATATGGCACTGAAACGGAAACAAAGTCAAGCATTAAATACCTTGGATTAGTTATTTCCTCTGACCTTTCTTGGTCATCCCACATCTTATCAGTCTGTAGGAAAATGTTTCATCTTACCTTCTACATTAAAAAGTTAAGACAATCAGGTATCAAACAACCTTTACTTCTGCAGATTGTAAACTCCTGTGTTTTACCTGTTGTACTCTATCGCTCTCCATTAATCTTTCCTGAGCTTCTCAAAAAAGACTATATCATATTAAGAAGGGTATTAAATGCTGTGAGTAGGGCTTGTGGTATGCCTCTGCGTGAGCTCGCCAATATTATAGTCGAAAGATACAATGTGCGTTGGTGGCACAGTGGTTAGGACTCTCGCCGACCATGCACATGGTCCGAGGTTCAATCCCCTGCCGACGCACACATGATATCTATGGTTGGCCTGCGAAATTTGGGCTACCGATATCCATGCTGAAAATTTCATACTTGTAACGAAAATACGGTGTGTAATCAAGCTGTAATCAATAATAAATAAAATAAATAAAATCTTGTACAAAATGGTTAGAGGCCGTACTGTCAGATTCCCTGCCCGCCCCCTCATTTATTCACAACTATCCCCTAGCATCTCATCAGGTAGGACAAGAAGTCAATATAGGAAGTTATATGCTCAAACTACTAAGTATAAAAATTCTACAACACCCTATTTAGCTCGTATTTTATGTGATGAAGACTCTGTTAGACGTGAAACACATAAGTTACTATGTAATTAGCACAGTGAATCGACCCTTTCATTGTTCATCTCCCTTTAATTTTATGGT